TCACACCATGTTGTCCAGCAAAAATCAATTGACATCTCAGTGAAACATGTCACCCCTTATCTTCAGCAGAAAAAGTTTGCTGCCTGCTTCATGCTGGTTTCTTGCTTGTTTTATTCTTACACCTTTAAGATGGAGGTGACATGTTCTTCCAAAATTTCACTTAACTTTCATTGGACTTGCATGATATTATATCCCTGAAGACAGAACTCATCAAGAATAAAAAACAGAGAAAATACTGGAAGGCAGAAGTGGTTAAAGAGACCTGGATGTTAAACAGTTCACATGGGGTGGATATGTCCTATGAAAATTGCACTAGTACTAGTAATGTTGATGATGGTTGTGGCAGTCATAATGATAACAGACATAACATGAAGCAATATTAGCTCTATAAATTATTTCTCTGAAGAAATGATATGAAGTTGCAACATATGGTGGACCTGAACAAATTATAGCTACATTAAATTAAAAAAAATATATATATATTTTGAACAGACACACACACACAAAGAAATATTGTTTTAATTGTCTTTTTTTCAGCACACTGTTCAAGTGGCAGAGAACACAATAAGTATCAATAACACTTATGAGCATTAATATCATTGTTTTAAGGTAAATTTTGTTTCACCGTTACTTCTTTTCTGGTGAAGTAAATGAAAAAGTTTTTTTGAACAAATTTAAAACAATGAATGACAGTCTGACTCTTTGGAAATATGTATGTGGATAAGGAAAGAGAAAAGTATTGAATTATACTTGTATATTTTATAAATTTTTTCAAATAAATGTTTCGGGCATATCTTGTATTCCTTTAAAATTATAGTGTGAAATTACTCATTTCAGTTGCCCTCAAAACTGTAACATAAAAGATATAAAAAATTAAAAGTCAACACTCCAAAACATTAGGATATGTTACTTTCTTAGTGACATGGTGTGTGGACTGTACATTGATAAAAAAACAGGTTTGCTTATATTGTCTGTAACAATTACTCAGCTCACAGCTTTGAAAATCACTGATGAATCGCCCATATGTATTATAAAACAAAATGCCAAAATTCACATTCAGTCAAATGTGTATGAGTGCCAATGAGCACAATGGCCTGAATGAGCAAGATACAGGGGGGATTTTTACTTTCTAGACCAGTTCACTGCCCTGAATGTCATGGTAACAGATGCACCACTTGCTGCAAGGTACATACAAATTTTTCCATGAATCAGCATGCCTGATGTCTAATAATGTTTGGAATGAAGGGAAGTAATTAGCTTGTGGACCACTTGACAGCATTATATTTCACTGCCAGCAGTGTGGTTCATGCGCGGGAGTTTGTTTATGGTTTGACAGCAGTAGGCAAGTGTTATCAGATCCATTAGCCATTTGTTCTCAGTTACAGTTAGTGAACAGTGTGGTACGTCATGGTGTGGTATACTTCAGAGCAACATGGATTTCTGTATGACACCTATGTGAAATAGAGATCTGCTAGAAAGCGTCAGTGAAAGTTATGTCATAAATTTCAGGATGAAGCATTCCCAGCAGACAAACAATTAAAAAAGTTGGTGAAAAAAAAAACTTAAAACAACGAGACTCTACAAGAAACAAAAATATAAGAGGTGAGTGCTGAGGAGAATTTAGATGACATAGGGACCAGACTTAAACATACACCTAGAAAATCACTGAAATATTAGTGTAAGTAGGGCAACAAAATTGCTGAAGTTTAGACTCTATGAAACCACAGTAATCCATGTCTTACAGCCTCGCAATCCAGCTAGCAGGGTTCATTTTTGCAGTTGGTTTCTACAGTCTGTCATCAAAGGTAAGATCGATCTGCAATTAACATTCTTTCCTCATGAAGCGTGGTTTCACTTCCATGGATACATGAATATGCAAAATAACCCCTACTGGAGTTTACAGAATCCACATCTAACTCATGACGTCCTGCTTCATCCAGTGGAAGTTGGTGTCTGGTGTGCTGATAAGTGCAAGAAGTATTGTTGGACCTGTGTATTTTAATGAAACAATTAATTGTGAAAGATATGTACAGGTCATTCTCGGGCAAGTCTTTCCATGGTTAACAGAAGAAGAAATGCTCTATGGCTGAGTGAATTGAATGATAATTGGCTGCATTTCAGCAGCTTAAAGGCGAACATTGTACGCATGATGATGGACCAATATAAGGGTCAAAACATGTCACATCCATAAAAGCTTTAATAACAACAAATTTTGATATAGTAGTGTCTTCTTTGTTTTAAAATAAAGAGTGTTGTTGTGTAGACGATGTATTCCTGTATGCTTTATATCTTACTCTATGGCTGGTCCACACTGCACTTATATCTATGCAGGCTTTGTCCGATGTCTTTGAGGACAGAATTAACAGTGGTGATATTTGGTAAGCATGTTCACTTGACCTTAATCCTTGTGACTCTTTCTTCTGAGATGTTTGAAGGATAGAGTTTACAACAGTAACCCCCGGACAGAACAACTAAAAGAAAATATCTGTAGGGAAATTGCAAATATTCTTACAGAACAGCTTCAAAGGGTAAATCAGAACATCTTCTGCCAGTACAAGGAATGTCTAGGTGTAGAGGGACAATATTTTCAATACCTACTGTGATCTGAGAACAAATGTAAGAACTCCTCTTCACTCGGACTGTTAACACCCATCAGGTATTGGCAAATTTTGTATGTGCCTCACTACAAACAGTGCACTGGCTGCCATGAAGCACAGAGCCATGGAACTAGTCAACAAAGTGAAAATTCAATCTGTCTATTGGAAACAAGTTTTTACTTCACTCATGTAAACAAATTCAAAACATATGATTATACTCATACAGATAGGTTAAGCAAAACATATTTTATAATTAACAAACCATGCAATATATGAGTTACTATGTTTGTAAATCATCTTATATATGCAACCTAAAAAAGTATTTGGAACTAAGTATGATTTCTCAAAACAAAAACATGCAAACTGCATTGAGTATTAGGAATTGCTAGATTTTTGTACTTTGTCCATTGTCTGTTATTCTAAAAAACTAGAGAACATGACATTTCAGAAATTGGGCCTGTTTCCATCCCCAGGCAAGAGGGGGAGACATCTACTCTATTGGGCCACTTAGAAAGAGCTAACCTTAATCACTGAATCACTGGATTGAGGTCAGCTCTTTCTAATGGACCCAACAGAGTAGGTGTCTATCCTTCTCACCTGAGGATGGAAACAGATCCAATTTCCAAAATGCTGTGTTCTCTAATTTTTTAGAATGTCAGATGATGGGCAAAGTCCAAAGCCCCAGTAATTCCAAGTGTTCTACACTTTTGTCAGAACCCTTTGGACTCTACTTGTTTTATGTATATTCCCCAATTATGTACTACAATCTGGATTTCACACACAAAAACATAATAATGAACTACATATCACACATAATCAGCTCCTTTACTTAATGGAAAGTAGAAGTATCATTATTTATAAATTTGTTTGGATGGAATACTGATGTCAGTTGCTATTTTTAAGTGCTTCAAATACTGTAACTGTTCACAAAATCTGACATGGTGTAGAAGAAAAACAAATATAATAATTCTAAACTTTAATCCAAAGCATGAAAGTATTATCCCTTCATATCAGACTTTCCTTTTGTGACTGATAATAATAAGAACATAAATAAAATAATTAATGATCAATGGTATAGTGTGGTTACAGCAGGTCTTGGCTTATCTGGATCTTTTTTTTTTTTTTACTGTTCCTGAGGAATACATGGGCAATAACATACATATCATGTGACCAGATCTTGAAATTGTAGAGGCAGTTACAAATGCAAAGAATCAATACATATGGATTAAGTGTACATTACTGCTGTTACACAGATATCCACTACTCATAGACCTAGATTTTCATCTTATATGAAATACTGCCATTTTTTCTTAAGTAGATGAACATTCAGAATTCAGGTAAGTAAGGATATGACATGACAGGAAAAAGAAATGCACCTAAACGAGATAAAGCTTCAATCCAACAAAGCTGAGCTATCACTTCCTAATACAGAAATTATGCCATTATGATGATGCTTATGTATCAAGAACTCCTACTGAAGAAAATTAATTATGTTTACTCAGGAGTTCAGTTTCAAAATATGAAAATGAAGATGATTACAACTGCAGTGGTTCAGTGATGAGTAGGCAGGAAAAACTATGGGGATTGCAGCTCATTTTATTAGGAAGGTCAACTTTTAAGTTCAGTGACAGTGTTACAAGGTTTTCTGTTGATGTAAAAGGTCTGTGCACTAAATTCAGATATTATAACAATCCAGCAAGGTAATCTAAGAACTTAACTGTAAAAATGGTTTCTTGGTTTTCTAAATGTGTGATGTTTCATGATATAGTACGAGGGTAAGTCAATAAGTAAATTACAAATGGCTATAGAACTTAAACAAATAAGAGTACTGATTTGAAAAATGCTTTTATTTCTCAACATAATCTCCCTGTACATTGAGGCACTTGTCCCATCGTTTCACAAGCCCCTGAAAATCAGCAGCATAAAATTCTTTGGGCTGCAGTCAGAACCAGGTGGTGACTTCCTTTCTGCAGCTTCAAGGTTGGGAAAATTTTCAGCCGAAAGATGCTGTTTAAGAGGGCTGAACAAATGGAAATCTCTTGGACTTCCCACTTGAAATTTTGCAGCATCTCATTTGTCTGTGCATGATGGGTGCCATGTATGCTGACCCCACAACACAAAATGCAAAGAATGGGTCTGCCATTACAGCATCTCAATTGCTACCATGATGAAGGACATGATATGCTAGCCTGAATTGTCACAGGTGGGTCACCATTACCACAAGCTGAACATTTTCCCGATGAAGCTGTAGAAAGGGAAGTCACTGCCTGGTTCTGACAGTAGCCCAAAGAATTTTATGCTGCTGGTTTTCAGGGGCTTGTGAAACAATGGGACAAGTGCCTCAATGTACAGGGATATTATTTTGAGAAATAAAAGCATTCTTTCAAATCAGTACTCTTATTTGTTTAAGTTCTATATCCATTTGTAACTTACTTATAGACTTACCTACGTATTTAATGGGAATAAATAACCAAAAACTTAAAATTGATTAACAAATAACCTAATGTCACAAAAATGCACAAATCCCTGTATATTTAAAAATACTTAAATATTAACTTTTCACACATTAAATAATATTTTACCTGAATATTACTCTTTCTGCTTCTATATTCAATCAGTATCTTTATATCCTTTATCAAGTAATCCTTTTCTACCAGCTCTATGTATTCTTTGCCATGGATTATATCACTACTGACAGAAATATATGATCAACCTTTCTTTGATTTTTGTTTTATTAAATCAGTGTTCTTCTATTGCTGGAGTCAGATGAGTTTATGAATATGAAATGCACAGCCAAATCTTTTGTCTATGAAAACATTCAATAGGAACTGAAAAATGTACTTGTATAATTTAAATAAATAAACAAGAATAAGAAATACAGTACTAACATCAATTAACTTACATATATGTCACTTAATGCCATAATTCTGTCTTCAACTTTTCAGCTGTGTAAGTACTAAAGATAATGTACTAGAGTTTTAAATTTCAAAATGATGACTGTTTTATATTTGAAAATAACTACATATCTCAGGTACAAAAATATAGTTACATGTAGATCTGTTGTATTATACACTATACAGTGCTCAAAGTGGGATTTCAGATGTAGTGGGATGCTTCATAGCGTGGAAATTCTGACTTTGGTGTACAATTCTGCCACTTACAACTACCTCTGCATTACTTTGGAATTATTTAATTTATGAAGTCATAACAAAATCATTAAATAAGGCATAAAACAGACAAGCTTGAGATGGCCTGGAGTGCAGAGATATTTATTCTGTACAAAAGGTAGAGGTGTAATTTGCTTCAAAAGAAGATGGGGAATTACATATTGAAATTTTATTTTCAAAGTAATTTCATGACAATGCCCTAAAATTAAAATACATATCAGAAATGTAGTAGACATAAATTTTGTTGTTATGCATCATGACTTGATTTTAGTTTTAATTTCTCAAATATAATGGAAGGAACCAGAAGAACCACCAACATTTTTACCCAAATATAGATGTTGGTGTAATTTGTATTTACATTTTGAAACACAGTTACCAGTAACTGTAAAAAATTATCAGCTGGAAATTAATTACTTATGTTAGTGGATATTTCTACACACGGTGCTTAAAAGAATAATAAAGTAAATACCTAATGATAGGTATAGTTTATGAATAGTGAATTAACTGTACCATATTTTTCACTGCATTACTTGAGACACCATTATTTCAGTGTCTCTTTCTGAAGACCACAGTAAAATATTGTTGAACACAAATCTGCACTCTGTAATCAATTTTACTCAAGTTATGTAGACATTTAATCATAAATTTACTAAGCACTGGGTTGGCATTATGAATTATGAAATTATGTCAAACTGTATCACAGTACGAGTAATTAAAAGTAACATAAGAAAGGAAGATATCCCACTTCATCTTTTAGCCACAGTAAGCTCTGATATTAGAGTCATGCCAAGATTCAAGGATCCCTGGATGTGCCTGCATGTGACATAGCAAGCCTCAACTTTGGCTAAATATTGCAGTGCTATTGTCAGATTTTCATTTCAGCTCTAAACACTGATAAATGCAGACAAAGACTTGCAACAGTCCTATACAGACAATGCTATCTAACAGAGGAAAGAATCATCATGTGATTCATTCAAAAGTGGAAAGTTTGATAATGCACCTGGCAAACACGTGATTGTCAACCAATGCTGTTTCAATGTGGGGAGTGATGAATACTGATACTATACCAGGAACCATTAAATTACAGCAGCACTCTAGTATCTATGCTATATATACAATATAAAAGAGTATAATCAGTGTGTAAACCTTGTAGACAGTAATTAAGACTTGCCTGTTCCATTACCATTGGTAATGGTTTCTCCAGGAATTCCAGATGTGTCATCCTCTTCTTCCTCTTGGATCTGACTGCGAACACTTGTTCCTGGAGGTTTGCTTGTTTTCCTTGAAAATGTCGGTGCTCCGAGCATATTTTCATTATTCTGCAGTGGCCTTCGATTTAGCAAGTAATCCAAGTCATGAGAAATTCGGTCCAACACGTCCTCTTCTGTTTCTGTTACTGATGAGACAGAAATTGCAGGTTGAGGTTTTTCCCTTCCCTCTGGCTGACACCTTTCAGCAGAACTACAGGATTTCCTTGCCTCATCTTCGGGATCTGCTTCTTGTGGTGAAACTTCCTGACCATCAGGTTGAGAGTCACCATTAAAACTTCCTAATCCCTCAGTAGCTTTTTCTTGCTCTTCTTGTGTTTCCAACAGTGTTCCTCCATTGGTGCAGCAAGTGTTTGCTTCAACAGCTGCAGTCACTTCAGCCAAGTCCAAAACCCCTCTATGACAAGGTTCAACGTCAACACTGCACAATACTATGGCTGGTGTTTCCAGTGTTCCACCCGAGTCATCTGTCCCTTGCTGGTCCAGATGTCTAGGAGTTGTAATGACACCTAGCTCAACACAGACTCGAGTGGTCACAATTTCTTGCTGTGTGGATATCACTGGTGGAGGTGTTTGTTCACGAATGTAGCATTGTGCAGGTTCTGGTCTTGGTATGGCCATTGTTCCTATTGCAGGAGTTCCACCATTGTGGTAGAATCCCCTTACAAACCTCCATCGATCTCCAGAACCAGGGAGAATTCGTTCATCTGCTACTGGTAATCCAATGTCCTGCTCCACATACTCAGAGAACACATCTGTTGCATCCTTGCCGCTTCGTGGCTGTTTCTTATATTTGCGAGGACTGTTGTGGTAGCTCTCCAGGTCAACGTCATTACTGTCTCCTTTCAACAGAACCCTGCTCTCTGACCCACGAAACGCAACCCTAGGCCCACTATCACTAACACCACAATCCTCCTCAGAACCCTCCACACTGTGAACAAATGTCTCAATTGTACTGGGTGCTCCTTCTGATGGAGGCGTCCTTCTGTTGCTGGTCTCCACCATCAGCAAGCCTTCAGATGGATCTCCATCATCTTCCCCTGCTGCTCCACCACGCATGTTCAGAGAGCTGCTGGGTCTAGGAGGTGGTCCTTCACTCTCTGCATCTCCTTCTTGTTTAGTAAAAACTGCACATTAAATATGGTATGTTTGAATGTTATACTCAAAACATAAATCTAATTCATGATTATCCTGCAACCTTACAATGGCTGAAATATACACAAAATCAACTGTGATCAGACAGCAGATTTCTGATCATGGCTATGGTATCCCTTAAACTCTGTGTGTAACTTGTATGCATAATGTTACTGTTATTTATATGCTTACAAAGTAAAGCAACAACTAATATAACAATGCTGGAAACGATACTCTTCAATTTGCATAAACACAGAATACGCATTTACTGTGTGTTGAACTGATTTTAGGAAATGCTTCATTGTGTTTTAGTGTTTTTTTACAACTCTTTAATGAACCGTCACAACGCAGCAAATAGTAAAACATCAAAGTCAGCGTTCAGCTGTGGCTTTGCAACATGTTTCAGCCACTAACGGCCATCATCAGGCAAATACCTATCAACAAAAATCTACCATTTAACTGCAATCATAAAATGGCTATAACCCTATTAATTATACAAATTTAAAAATGCTTATGTAAAAGATACAAAAGTTCAGATTATATAAAAATTGAAAATTGAAAGTATTATATAACTAGATACATATTAATGATGTTGTTGTTTGCTTTCCATGCAATATGGACAATTCTTCATAAGACGAGGCACCATTACACAATTTATTAATTGCAACACAATGGGCCTCTCTTAAAATCTTCTATATAAAGTAATATCGAATTTCCATATTGTCTATGGAAACGCACACAAAGTAAATCCAACGACTGATTTGATGTTTTGAAAACATCATTAATATGTATCTTGTTATATAATACTTTCAATTTTTAATTTTTATATAATCTGAACTTTTGTATCTTTTACATAAGCATTTTAAAATTTGTACAATTAATAGTGTTATATCCATTTTATGATTGCAGTTAAATGGTAGATTTTTGTTGATACGTATTTGCCTGATGATGGCCGTTAGCGGCTGAAGCATGTTGCAAAGCCACAGCTGAACGCTGACTTTGATGTTTTACTATTTGCTGTGTTGTGACAGTTCATTAAAGAGTTGTATATTGTAGCACAAAAGGATGCACAAAATTAAGATTATAAAAGGTTTTTTCTTACATTTACCTTCTTTAATTGTAAAATAGTTATTCCTTTTACACTGTTAAACTTGTGGGGATACTGAAGCTTAATTTATATTCTTTAAAACTATCCTCTCTTTACAGTACATTAGCCCTTTGATAGAAAAGTATTTCTTACCTCACAGACTGCAGCCTCCATAGTCTAGAGGTAACGTTCCACCTCATGACTGGTAGTACGCGGGTACAAAAACCTGGCGGAGGTCGTGGAATTTTTAAGGGCAGAAAAATTCAGGGAAAAAGTCCTCTGGGAGGGACTTTAAGCCGTGGGTACCGTGTCGTAGATTTACGGCACGTAAAAGAACCTCATGTCTCTAGGAGACCTCTGAGGCAACATTTCCCACCCAAGTAGTTTCCAATTCCTCCAGTAGACGGGGGAAGTATTAGGTATCACTGCCAGAGGAGGGGGAACCTCTCTGACAGAAAGGGACTAACTATTAGATACCACTGCCAGAGGAGGTTGGAACCTCGCTGGCAGAAATGGGGCTGATAGTAAGCACCAGTACCGGTAGGGTATGGAGACAGTAGAAATTAAAGGGGGACGCACAATGGACCACTAACCAGTCTAAGTGCATGGGGAAAACCCACCCCCTCAATACGGAATATGGAATACCTCACAGACTCATCAGGGTTGGAAGAAACATATAAATACAGAGGAACCCCATTTAATGTTGTCATTTTAAAGTTTTCCTTCACTCAACTTTGAATTTCAATGATGTGAATTTAATAATCTCAGTGTTAATATATCTCCATTTAAGATTTTCATTGGTGTAACTTTCAAATCCACCGGTCCCCCAAAACAACCTTAAACAGGAGTTTCACACTTCCAAATTTTTGTCAAAATATGGGGAACTATGGCAGCATGTAGCTTACAACAGAGATATCATGTAAGAAAATGGCGGACATGATAGATGAGGATATCCTGGGTAATGTCATGGTCTGCAGTAGCCCAGGACATCCAGGATATTGCTGTCAAAGGGATAAATTTGTCCTTCATACAAGGGCTGGAATTTTAATAGTGGCAACTATTTATTTACAGCTGATACAAAATAGATGCAGGTTTCAAAGTTTTACTGTCCTTCAATGTAGTCACCAGCATTGTGTACAACCTGTTGCCAGTGATGTGGAAGTCATAGGATACTTTTAGCAGCGCCTGTTGTGTTGATAGTTCGAATGGAGTGGTCTACTGCCTGAATAATCTCTGGAACAGTTCTGAAGCGAATGTCACAAGGGCTTAAGTCCAGGGAGTATGGTGGATGGTACAGCACTTCCCAGCCCCATCGATCAGCCACATCAACAAATCAGCCACAGCATGTGCTGCATGCAGCCAAGCACTGTCCTGCAAAATGATGGGTGGGTTCTACAGAAAGTGTTGCCACTCCTTTCTCAAAATTGGTCGCAGGTTGTGTTCCAAAAATGAACAGTAATACTGCACATTGACGGTCTGCTGTCGAGGAACGGTATGCGTTAGGATAACACCATCACAGTCGTACACGAGAATCGCCACAACATTCACAGTTCTGGGGTTCTGACGAACTTTAGATTTTTGTGGTGACCCGTAATGACGCCATTTGTTCGATTGGCATCCCATTTGTGGCTCGTATGATTTGGCCAGTGTCTCATCCAGTGTAATGATACAGCGTAAGAAAGCCTCTCCTTTGCGCTCATAGTGCTCCAAGTGGTTACAAGCCGCATCAGATCGTAGCCATTTCTGCATTTCTGTCAAATCATGCGGAACCGCTCATGATGCAATTTTTCTCATGCCTAGGCGTTCCTTCAGAATGTGAAGCACAGTTGTATGTGCTAATCCTGTCTCTCGGGCCAGCTCACGAATCATATGCCATTGATCACTCTCCAGTAATGCAGAAAGAGCATACACTTCTTCTTCACTGACACTATTACAACCTGGCCGACATATGTCTGCCACATTTTGGCATCCCTTGTTGAAGGCTTTTACTCACCTTGCCACTGTTCTGTAAGGCAATGCATATTCCTCGCAAGCCTATTGAAGACCTTAATGACACTGTTGTGCTGTACGGCCTCTGGCACATTCAATCTTTATCCAACTCCGTTGTTCCTGTTTCAAAAACATTGTGACAACACCACATTAGACCGCCAGCTAACATGAGACTCTGTTCTTCTCATCACTGCACATGCGCATGATGTGAGAAGGGAGAGTCCATTTGCTCTGAGGTAAGGTAGGTATGTAACTAACGTGTGGTATAAGCGACATTATTTGGTTCTGTTGGATGGCGTCTTCACAGCGGTGTTGCCGCTATTAAATTTCCAACCCTCATATGTTCTCATGGAGTGACATGCATTTGAGGTGTCAGCCTGTAAAACAGGTTTGAACACAAAACAAGTCAAATGGTTCTTGTACTTCCCATAGGACAAGGAATCCCCCTTGGTTTGCTGCTTTACTTAAATCTGCTACACATAACTTTGCAAGATACTGCATATAACACACTTTCTTCATATGGAAGCACTTGGAAGGAAAGTCAATTTCTGCGAACAAATAACTTGCACATATAAGACACACTATGCTAAACTATGACCAATTTACAAGATGTATAAGAGCCTGTAAATAAATGGAGAAAGCTGAGGAAGGGAGCTTATATATGAGTGCGCAGAGTAGAAATATTACAGAATAACTTTTATATTTGGTGTTGTTTCCTGTCAATATTTCTGTACATTTTACCAGTCCCATTTGCATTTATATTCTCTTGTATACATGATTTTCAAGAGGAGATTGACTTTGGGTAATGCTTGTTGCCATTCAGCCCAGAACCGTTTGTTTTCCCATTTGCTGTCTAAAAACTTGAGGGCACAATGTGCTACCAGGGACACAAGAAGCTTGAAAACCAGTGGTCTAAAGAAGAGTTCCAACTTGAATTTAAAAATACACTAGGTTACAGCAAATTTGAATTATTAATATGGAAGGAGTATAGGTAGTACATGATTATTTATACATGGAATATATAAAATTTTGAATATTTGCTACATATGTTGGGGGCACGCAGTAGCGTAGTTGGTTGAGGCAATATGCTATAAGCTAGGAGGTCATTGGATTTTTCAATTAACCTAATCCTTCCATCCGCACTATGGCCCTGGGGTCGACTCAGTCTCTAACAGAAATGAGTACCAGCAATATTCCTGGAGGTAAAGGGCAGCTGGCATGTAAGGCTGACAAACTCACCACCATCTGTGAGCCAAGTGTAGAAAATGTGTGAGACTCAATGTCTCACAATCTTATTAGTCCCCAGGGCCTGTTATAGGAATTGGTTTACCGTTTGCCTTATTATATATATTAATCATACATGCCTACATGAATTGAAAGAAAACATACTTACATCTCAGAGGGCTGTTAATAGATTCAGAACTATATTCATCTCCTGGAGTATTTTCCAATTTCAGTTTCCTTAATACGTGGATATGAAGGGGCGTCTCACTTTTCAGGATGTAGCACAAAAATATGATGAACCCCTGAAAAAATATGGAACTTATTAACTGACAGAAGCGACGACTGAAAACAATGAGTAATGTAAAGCCATTATTTATGCTAAATATGCCCTCTAGTCATGAAAATCTATTTACTTATACCTGTTTCTTCACACCATCTTCCAAAAATTCTGTTTATGATTTCTAGAGTACATATCACTTTTCTGTTTTTTCTGCACATTTTAAACCAGTAATACTATATGTACTGTGAATTAACTCTATATGATATTCGTCCCACATTTCTGTTATTTCATCATAAAGATGTCTCATTAGTACATGCCATACATAACAGATCGTTTTTTACATTCAAATAAGCAAAGAATTTATAAGAAAACATACTCTGAGAACATTTCCTATACAAATTTTTAACCTCTAGGAAAAATTTCAGCTATATCATCACATTCTGAAGAAATGATGCTCTGAGAACATTTTATTTATCTCACATGGTGACCACAGCAGTCCATTTGATGCTGAACTTTGTGCTGATGTTTACAGTACCTAACAGACTTGCCCCAAATATGTAGTACTGTAGGAGACAGACACTAATAAGTATAATATCTTGAATCATTCTGAAGCAATCTAAGCTTGGGAAAGCACGTTAAGTATCAATTCATCAATGAAAGTGGTCATTCATTTTCTGAGTTAGCAGACATGCATCTTGTGCTAGGATAGTGCAATGGAAATTCTACCGATGCTGTTAGAAGATACAGAGAAAACTGTAACTGGAGAGTGTCAAATTGTCGTACTTTACTTTCTGTTGACAGCTGTCTCTGAGAGATGGATATATTCCATGGAATATGACGGAATGTTGGTTGTCCACATTTTGCATGTAATATATGGATGGAAGAGCAGATCCTTGAAGTTGCTGAAAGAGAGCCTACCATCAGTACTGGATGGCTTGCAGCTCATGCACGTATCTATTATGCTTCTGTACACAGTACATTATAAGAACAGCAGCTGTATCCCTACCACACTCAGGATAGCAAGTGTTTGTACGATCTATAAATGTGCAATCAATAAATGAATTTTGCAACAGTTGGCTAAAGATCTTATGTTTACAGCATATTTTTATTCACAGAGTACTTGTGCTTCATTAGGACTGAGATCACTAGCACTCATAAAAAGCATGTGTGGTGAGATGAAAATCCTTCTGTGATGCAATCTCATTATTAGCAAAGGAAGTTTTCCATCAACCTATAGGCTAGAATTTAGGTAACTGCTACATGGGCCCTCACTCTTTACCAGTACAATTTTGTGGCCAAGATAACCTTAATTTTTTAACACATTTAAGTGAGCTATTTGTTGGAAGATTTTTCCTTCAACACATATCTTTGCATGTGGTTTCAACACAATCGTTCTCCATCAAATTACAGCTGTGAAGTACATCAATGGCTGTCTGAAACTTATCTTGGACACAGGATTGATCACAGACATGAAGCTCCAGTTTCCTGGCCTGCATTCTAACCTGACTCCAGTTCTCTTGATTCTTTTCTGTGGGTATATTTGAAAACTACAGTCTATGCCAATGAAATCAGTACCAAAGAAGAACTGTGGTGTTGAATTAAACAACTGCAGGTTAAATAAGTAACACGCCTGGAATCTTTGAATTCCTGTGAGTTTATTTTTCACACAGAGTTATGTGTCCACAAACATGGAAGCCATTTTGAGCATCTTTTGTAAGAAAGTACAAACAAAGTGGTTACAGCTCTTTTGTTTGTTTTCTTCTTATACAGAGTCTGTTAAATTCATGAAGTATTTAGGGTGTGGCCATGAAAGCTGAAATTAGAATAACTTTAAGGATAACCTTAGGATACCTAATCATATGACCCTCTATACTTAGTCTGATGTCCAGAGACCACTCTGTAAAATATGGCATGTAATAACAAGATATTCTGTACATTACAGAAATAAAAAAATCCAGATTATGTTAATTGTAAAGTCTCACTTCTGTCACCATAAAGAGTATGAAATATAAAACTGCATTTGACTGATTAGAATTGGCCCAACAATTCAGGATCAAATGTATGTGTTCAATAAATATACAAGTAATTAGTAGTTCCAGTGTCCACCCAAGCATATACTCAGGTCATGTGTGTTGTTCACAATGAGTTAGCAGAGTATGTACTCAGGCAATAGGTAAAATTTACTTAATAACTGTTTAACAAACAATGTTGTATAAATAGCCATCTATCACACATTGATACAATTAAAAAGGACTGCTTTTGGCGTTACTGCCTTTCTTCTTGCATGTAATCATTTAAGACAAAAACAAAATCAGTGACTACTCAGTCTTCTATTTTGATGACTATGCAAACAGCTGTTTTGTCACATTAAAGGCCTTGTACACATCGATGCGAATGACAATACCATGATATATTTCATGACACTTATAGCCCTTGTAATGGAGCACACACACGTGTTGCTACATATTTCACTGTTAGCCTCTAGGTAACATGGTATCCAGTCCATGATGGAACCTGACACGTGTCACAACTATTAGGCACTAAAACACGTCTTGAAATAGCTTCAGACACATCACAATCTGCACCATAATATTACTTCATAATACATGTACCGTCACTTACATGAATATATACTTGAAACTTAAAGCACTGGAAAGGTTCTAAGCTAAACTGCGAATTTTCACATAATTGAATAATATAAACTATGAGAAACAGTGCTCTTTTCTATCTTACCTGTATTAAATAAACTAACAAGAATATGTTCTTTGTAATTTATACAAATAAAAAATTCACTTGTGTCAATATCAGATATAAGGTTTTTGTGGCGCTGTAGATTCATATTGTGGTTTCAGGTGTTGTTTGTTGTTTATTTACTGCCAATGCAAATATACTGTTGAAAAACCAATGACAAGTGCAGTTAATGTACTGCATAGACATATAAATTATTTTCCATTATATTTTGTTCAAAAGAAAAACATAAAAAAAATATTTCCAGTTAAAGTTGTATATTTTGAGGTCATATAAAAATTTCAAGTACAGTTTTTGAAAAACCTGACAGATAAATTTGTAAAGGGTTATATTCGACAAACATGCATAACAACTTTCATTATAGACTCCATCAACCCAAATACAATAATCTACCCAAGGTATCTGGCAGTAATGAGAAACAGAGTGTGCAGTTTATATGAATCTGCTGGTTGCATATGAAAAATTTGTAAAAAATTCCAGCAAAAATTCAAAACAATATGTTTTTACATTAATTATTTCGTGGAAATCTTCCTAAGTGATAGGAAAGATGAGAAGTGATAGATTTAGGATATCTATACTGTAACATGATCAAAAACTAAATTACCCTCCTTCTTAATAATTTTGTAACAATCATAAATTTTATTTGAATTTTTTGCCAGTTAGAAGAGAATTATGGATTACTGGATACAGGATAATTGGAATTTTACTATGCCTTGTAACCTGTGGATGAACAGGCAAACATGAACTCCCTGTCATGCATTTTTTTCAAGCATTTAATGCAAGGAACATGAGAATTATAAAATATGGCATGAATAATGTATGCAGTATGCTCACCAGTAAGGCACTTGTGAAACTAAAAACATAGTGGCAAGATGAGTCTGGAACGTTGATATAGATTATGCTTGAAGCTTCCATCATTATCATCACAAAGAATATTATTCCAGCACGCCTCAAAAGTCCTACCCTGGAAAAGAGGTATAAATTTAATCTATGTTTTGAATGCATTAATGAAAAAAAGAACTACAAGCAGTCACCCACACCACAAGAATGGGTACTGCAAAAGTATACAGAGCATGAAACATTCAGGATTACAGGGAGTTTGTGTCCATCGCCTGATATTCTAAAAACACAAAGAACAAAACTTTTCAGAAACTGGATCTGTTTCCATCCTTGTGGGAGACAACTAATCTGTTGGGCCCGTTAGAAAGAGCTCACTTCAATCACTGGACGCAACATTTCTAACACATTTTTACTAATTACACACAGAAAGTATTCCTCCCAGAAAAAGAATAATGAAATTGTTCACTACTGCACACTGAAACACCACCCATCTCATGGGACTAAACTGCCCTCTATAGCTGGACGACTCACTTGCAAAGCAATGAATGCCTGTTTCCATTAACAGCCATTGCAGTTTCATATACTTCACCTTTTATCCTTTCCATATTATTACTAAAGAATCACACATTCTAATCTTAAAATTTGTAATAACTTAATACAATGTATGGCATGAAAATACATAAAGCATTCTTTGTTAGGTAAGCAAACCTTGTGGTATGGGTGAACTGCCAGTAATTTTGACACACAACTGAAACCAGTCCCTATAGCTTCAGCCTTTATAATTATCTAGACATCTCATTCAACTTCTGTAATTGAATAACTGCTGTTAAATATCCTATGAAAATATAAATAAATTGAACAGAAAAAGGATGTAGCTCTTTAATTTACTTTAAGTTACAACCTACCTCCGTCCTATAGCTTTGCTTCCAATGGAATTCTTGCTGGAAAGCAGATTGAGTCTTCTCATGACAGTGCAGTACAGGAATATGAAAAGGATCAGCATGACAACAGCTGATGCTATAAAGATATTGAACAGCATGGTGCCACATATCAGCCACCATGACCTGAGCTGCCAGCCAGTTGAATGATGTGCCAGGTGGTTGCAAAGTACAGCCAACACAGGCACTCCTGTAAAATGTATTACAATTCTAATATATGACAGAGGGTCATAAGCTACTATCCTCCAAAAAAGAGAGGTAAGGAAATTTACCAAGGCCTGCCTACATTTACTGTGCAAGCTGAAACTATAGGCAAAATATCTGGGCCACATGTGCCGCTGTCATTGGTACAAAGACATTCAGTGAGTACAGAAATGGACAACAGAATGGTCAAGTCAATAAGTTCCACTGATTAAGGCTGCACGCGCATGTACACACACGTGCACGTGCACATACAGACACAGACACACACACACACAAGATGGAGGAAATAAATTTGAAATGCAGAGAGAGAAAATATCCTGTCTCATGTAACCTAATCCAAACAGACTTTGCCTCATTTCAGATAACTGTATCCAAATCTTCCAACTCAGATTTTGAAGAGACTCTACATACTTATATGAAGTTGTCTAAGAATTTTGGCTAGCCTGTAACCACGCTCATAAGCATATAAGAAAGTAAATTACTATCCAGACTAATGAAATTATTTGTATTGGTATGAAAAGGCACCAGACATTTGTGGTAATAACTGCTTTCATATTAAGATTATGCAGTAGACCACATGGAATCTTTCAGTGTTTACTGTTGAAAGCAAAACCCCACCACAAAAGTACTGGATCTATTCACAGTTCAGAATAATCACATTTACCGAAATTATTACAATGATCTAAGACTTAATTTCCATGATGCTCCCTTGAGGTGGTACTGACTGTAGCCCCTATATGTTTTCTCCCCTTTTGATCAGTGTTAATTAAATCCATGTTTTCCTTTCAAACCATTCACATTTACACCTATGCTGTGCTTGCAATATGCCTTTAAGATATTATGGCTTAACATATGATAAACTCAGAACTGCTTCTTCCTGTATGCTATATGTATAACCAAAAATATATCAAACCCCATTATATACTAGGATTTATTTCTGTATTACTTGTTATTGCTGTTCCATTTATGAGACTCAATAACTCACTCAATAAAATGACTGGCTGAGTGCTGGATGATTTTATTCTAATTCACTGCAATGATAGGATTTTTGGTATCACATTCAGTCCAGCTACAATGATCAAGTCAGCCAGCCAATTAATGACACTGGGGGCAACCTGATCACTTACCTCTATCTTACGCCAAGGTCCACAACTAGTAGGATACTGCCACCACAGTGACTTACGTCTTCATATTCTGATGTTTAAACATAGGAGAAATATTTTCCTATTACTTTCATTATGCTGATCCACCTATGAGAGACAAATGTAGTGGAACCCCAATACAGTGTACCTCAATATGAAGTTGATCTTCAGTTTCAACTACCCAAGGTCAATAATATCAGAATTAAATTTTCTCTGTTTAATACTGTGATGGACTAAACCATTGCTAGATAACATATCAGTAAACAGATTCTTGAGGCAACACAGTCAACAGTGGGACATTCGTTGCTAGGTAACAAGTCGAAAAACACGTTCCCATGGCAATGAATATTAATGAAGACATTCCTGTGACAACGGGAGAATAAGTGAGGAATCATTTGAGATGGTGACCTATATTCAGGCTGTCTGGAAGTTATAAAAGAGTCATCATTCATTCATAGGAGTGATTAATCAAGGTAGTACAATGTTTGAGCAGTGATTCAGCATTCATCATTTGTCACAGTGGAAGAGAAGATGCTCATTGTCCAGTAAGGAATGGACCAGGTCGTAGAGAGTCATTGATTGTGAGCTGTCATAATTGATTTTAATTGTAAAGAAGTGCCGATAAATCCAATCATCTAATCTCTAACCCTGACATAAGACATTTTGATTTCACACATGGTTACAACCATAAATTTGTGACAATATATTCCTCAATATAGTGTTCAAATCCACTTCTCCTTAAAGATACCTTGAATGAGGTTTTTACTGCAGTATGTTTACCTGTTATAATACTGACAACTGTTTGTTTCATGTATTGTACTTTGGGGATATGGACCACCTCGGTGTAGACAATCAACAGCTTGCTCAGATGAGAAGACATACCAATTAGAAGGAAAGCTTCCAAGCTTGTTGTCACATAAGGAAAAGAGGCCTGCAACATTAAAATTAATCTATGCTCCAAGCCAAAAGCAATGTTATTAACACATAAACAAATTCATCCCCGAACTACATATTTCATTATGTGGCATATGCCTTAAGAGTGGAATATGATTATTTTATTTCTTATCAGAATTTGTTTTGTAAGAAACAATTGATTCTTGTTTTATTTCCATCTGAATAATTTCTCACATGTTTGCTAAATTAGGAATTTATAATAATCATAATAACTACTTTAGTATCTTTGGTTTATGTAAAAAGTGCTTACAGATTAACACTACAAACTAGAAATTGGGAACCACTATACAATGTTTCATATTAATTTATTAGGATGAACATCAAAGTATCATCATTTATCTAAAATAACATAGTGTGGAAGAGCTTACTGATATTACAAACTAAATTTATAGTTCAGTGTGACCTTTGGTACTGAATCCCGGACGGCATAGATGAAGACTCCCATGGCACCAGAGGTAGCAGTACAGCATTGGAGTTTGAGGAATATCAGACATGTTCGGTGGTGCCACCAATAGGGTAGCAGTAGGAACAATGTGAACATGGTCTGCACCAAACAGCATACACAGCCAACCAACACTACTGTGTGGAAATGTGCTGATACTGAGAGAGGCAACTGCAACAGTAATGGTAATGATGCGCATAAAACTTGTCTGGTGCACCTCTGAGTGTCATACACTTGAAAATTTGGGGGACAGCTTTCAATATTCTCCCATCTTTACCGTTATACAGAACCTCTCATGACAGAAAGCTGATACTTCTACTATGTTCGAGGAGGTCATTACAAGTTGAAAGTAAGGAATAATATTTTTTTTAATTCCAAATTTGAAGGAGTTATGTCCATTTGAAGTTTGTGAGGTAATACTTAAAATGCGAGCGTCTTTTCATACATGCGCAAGTATTTAAATAAAATATGTGGATTGCTTAAGTCAAGGGCTGTGCATTCAATCCAGCAAATAGTTGGAGAGGAATGTCAAAAATGACATACTCAAGGTGGTGGGTAACAATTTAATCCTGAGTGCAAGTGTCTCAACAGAACATGTATACAGCGAATGAATCTATGGAGAACTTTTAACCACCCTGGTTATTATCCACTTCACCAACATGTTATTCAAGCCCTTCAATTTAAAGATTACACTGCAAATATGGAATTCTGATACAGAGCATTTAAATTATCAGCTCCATCCCTGAATTCTCTTCCTTGATGAGATAATATTTACCAGAAACGAAATAAAGAATCATAGACTTTCACAGTGAAGCACACTGGAGAATCCAAATGAGACAAAGGAAAATTAATTCAAACACAGATTTTCTGTAAACATGCGGTCAGGGTTACTAATGATGACTCAGTGAACCATTTAATTTTGAACTACAGAGTGGTACATAAATTTCCTTGAAGCTTAACTATGATAACCAATGGAAAATAAGCCATGGTACAAGGTCCTAGCACAGTACTGTACTGATGCATTCCAAGAGATATGCAAAGCAATCTTCATGTGAGCATAATGAACACTGCTGGATTGGCCAGGGAGACCAGAAAACCGGTTGCTGAGGTTGAACAGGTATCACAGCTTTGGATTATAACTCGCTCATGGGGCTGAGCCCTTCTTTAGAAGCTGCAAAATGTGCAGATACTCAAGAATTTCCCAGCATTTTATGAAACCTGAAGGTCCATTACTGTGTTTAAAAGATCTATCCACTTGTCCCTATCCTAAGCCAGATCAATCCAATCCATACCATCCCATCCTATCTCCCTAAGATCCATTTTATTATTGTTCACCCACCTATGTCTTGGTCTTCCCAGTGGTCTCTTTCCTTCTTTTGGATTATTACTACTGAGACATATGGCCATAGCACAGCTCAAGCAAATAGTGCTAGCAATTTCTGAGGAGGCCAGGGTTCAGTCCTAGGGCAATTAAGATAAAATTTATGATGGATATAGAGGCATTATGGCAGGTTTCTTCGTCAGAGTACTTTATTTCTCTCCTGCCAGTAACCATTCCATCCTCTCATCTACAATCTTTGGCTGGTACAATAAGCCTATTCGAAGCTGCAGCACTAAAGGACTCTTGTCTCACAAAACCGCATGAAAATGGGGGAGGGCAGAATATGAAAAGCTCTTTTTATGAGATGAAATTGCAAATGGTAGCAGAGTCATGAGGCCACATCTTTGATAGTGCAATACAGATCAGAAAAGACAATGCCATGCTTTGCTGAGCAAGTGGTTCTCTTGTTGACGAAAACAAGAACTAACCTAAGAGACGGAAGTGCTCACTTTGAACAAGTACTGCAGAAAATTTAAATAAACTTGTTTTTTCTCTCTGTTTCCGTTAATAATATCAACTGTCCATAACACCTTAAATATTTAGAATAGGTCCAATGATATTCTTTTTTTTGACTTGTAATAACTTCCTCTGAATGCATGTGCAGTATTGACTTTACATCAAGGGACAACTTGTATCTGTATCTTTTGGCTAGTTAGTTCTATGGCATCCTTTACAATCTGTAACCTGTTACTGGAAGATGCAGAAAGTTAAATTAGGAGTTAAAGCTTGGATCTCCCTTGCCCCCTGATAATTCTCTGTCCTACCAATTCATTGTTGTGACATTACTGTAAGTACCTCATAATGCAACATTATGAGGTGAAAATAAAACACGTTTGAATATTACAGTCTTCTGGGACATTGCAATATTTAGCCTTATACACTGTCAGCAACATTTGAAAGGAATATACTACATTTAATATTTAGAGCAGATAAAAAGAGGTGAAGGTGGTACAGTAAGTTCCTCTGAAATGTCAATAATGACTTATCAGACAACATCTTCTAAATCACTACTGTAAGAACCACAAATTTCATTACCTTCATTCTTCAAATTATCTGTGATTTCTTTTTTATCCACTGATGTGCATAACTAAGAGTAAACTGTATTACTAAAAAAAGTAGGCCCAAGGAAGAAGATGGAAAATGCAGAAATAACAGTGAACATTCAGTAATGAGTACATAATATACAGCTGTGGCTCAGCTTCTGGGCCACATTTCATACGTGGCGCAACACTTGTAAGGCACAATTTAATACAGCCATATTTGCTATTGCTCAATCAAAGAAAATGATGCTTCAAGAGAGAACATTTTCATATCAATATACCTATGCATATACAAGCCTGGAAGTGTATATCACAGTTGCCAAAAACTGTTTAATTAAGGGCTGTCACAAATGGTAAAGTGACTAACAGCATGGCATCCAGTAAATAAAATATTTATTGAGTCCAGGAACAATTATGGAGGAAAAGCACATCTACTAAGTGCAAATCATGGCTGCGCCATAGCTCAAGCAATTAGTTGCCGGATTCCCAACACGGCGGCCTGGGTTCGATCCCGGGTCTGGTCAAATGGGATTTGTGGTGGACAAAGTGGCGCTGGGGCAGGTTATCTCCAAGTACTTCAGTTCCCCTGCCAATCTTCATTCCATAAATTGCTCCACAATCACCCTCACCTATCATCTGTGGCTGGTACAATACACCAGAAGTGGCAGCAGTACAAGGGACTTAGTCCCACCCCACTAGCAATAAAAAAAGTGCAAATCATACTGATGGCCTGAAATTGGGCTATATGAAGGGATGGGAAAGAAACATGATACTTCTGTTACAGAAATAAATTTATAACTTATCTGGACAAGAAAATACATTATTTTACCTTAACAAGCTACACTGCAAGACAGCCTGTCTTACAATCCAATAAATATAGTAATTTATTTAATTACACGGAAGAGCCTTACGTGAGTGGGCCTTGTTGTGAGTAGTGCTGCATACGTTCCAGGCTGATTACATCTGCATCTTGTGAGATTAGTATTAATTGTACGTGTAGTGCAAGCAGTAAAGTCCCAAGAGTGCTCAGCAGCAGCAACATAAGTCACCCCACATGAAATATTCCACTCATCTTTGTTGTAAGTATTCACTGTATGTTCAAACTCAAGGTCCACATGGAAGATGCCCTGATTTGGAACAAATCTCCGACCATCTCTCCCTATCTCCACAGCAACCACTCTCGAGTTTATCTCGTATTCCATCTCATTCCCATCCCTAAAAATAATTACAGAATTAGATAAGAATAACATTGTTCCTCGTACACTTGCAATTATTAGTATAGTCATTGGTATCGCTCAACTCCGGACACCAACAGATATCACAAAAGTTCATTTATACCAGAAAGAAAAATAACAGCAACTGAGAAAGTTAAGAAAAGAAAGAAATATGTCAAATGAACAACCATGCAGGCACTTTGTAAAATTTTAACTAACATAAAAAATTAATACAATACAAGTACAAATGTCCTAATGGGTACCATCTAATGAAATTTCACAGTTCTGGAGTGGGATCGTGTGTATGGCAAACAGGAGACCATCAGGGCCAGACTTTAAAAAGATAAATATTACCACAGGACTATGCTGGGAACATGCTATTTAAATGTCCACATTGAAGGGTTAATTCGTGAGGGAAACTGGGAGTGAAACAGAAATTCATATCCAGAGGAAAACATAAATATTATTATTTAACCACATTATTAAATACCAGGTCCCTGTACCATTCAATTGAGATAAATTATAAATAAATATGTATAGATGGTCTGAAGTTATGAAGAATTCCGTCTCCTCAGATGTGGCATTGTGTAGATCTTGTGTGAACCAGTGTTTCGGAGGAAAGTATCGCCTCCAACTTCAGGGCAGAAAAATCCTCGAGCGAGGTGGCTGCAGACTGAGTCTGCCACTTGCTCACGCTGGTTTCTCACTTGCAGAGTTTTCTACCCTGAAGATTGGAGGCAACACGGTCCTTGGTTCACACAAGACCTACACGGCGCCACATCCCAGAAGACGGCATTCTTCACATTCACCACTGTGAAAACCTCAAATCTTTCATCAGTCTGAAGGGGCTTCATATACATGCTAAGAGCTAATGAGAAAGTTTCAAATTCTATAAATTCAGATAACCACACATGATGAAAATGACACTGAAATAAAATAATGATTCTGATGTAAACTCAACAGGTTACATAATTCTATATTTCAGCATTCTGTTGCAATTGTTTAACTTAACATCCATGTATTTATCGTCAATCAATATTGCAACACTTACTTATTCACCATTTAATCTTAAACCTGGAACAGGCATACATTTATGAACAATGGACGACACCCCTTGTGAGGTGAAATAGAATGCACCAAGATAACGGGGGTTAATAGAAATTTTAATGGATTTTATTTTGTTTTACCCTGAAAAGAGAACTACAGGGTGTGATTTTATCACGGACTAATACAGTGTAGCAGTTTTAACATAATTTAATAAAATATTTGTAACATATCAAAACACCTGAAGATGGCCATCTGGGGCCGAAACATTTGTGTCAAAGAGTAAAATGTTAAACTTAAATTAAGATTAAGTGGTAAATAAGCAAGTGTTGCATTACTGACAGAGGATAAATACATGGACATTAAGTCAACAGGTTATGTGCTTGAATAGGAAAGGTTTAAGGTAAAAAATCGCACCAGTTCTTATCAGGGCAACATGTATCTTAAAAACTTAGTTTCAACCTCATACCAACATAGAATATATACTAAATGTTAGAATCTCAAACGGAATAGTCTAATGTCAGAGGAACTGGTAGTTTAGTACTACAAAGTATCTCATGCTCTATTCCTATATAATAGAACACCCCTACATTAATATATATAAACTTACTTTAGTTTAGCAACATATCTCAGTGGCAGAAATTTTGTCAGATTCCTATAAACAATTACAGCTATACTGAAAGTTCCATTTCCAAAAGCATCTGAACTAGGACCCTCTATGTGGACATCAAGTTGATTCGAGAACCAACTGAAACAAAATAAAGCAGTGCAATAAAAACATAAATCATTCTGATTGGACTATGCCTTCCAACCCTGTGATTAAGGATATATTTCACATGGGCAATGGATAAATGCTCACATAGCAGACTGCTGAAGTTTCCTGTAGGATTCAGTCTTAAAGCAGAAGAATATTTATTGCTATGTATATGGCTTTGCAGTGTTAAAATCACCATTTGTCAGCAGGATTGTAATTGATCTTATATTAGGCCCAATAACAGCAGGTGTTAGATAGAGTCCATTAATTTGAGATATAGTCCACCCACTCTAAGAACCACGATATGTCATATACCTTGAGCAGACAACATTAATGAAGAAAAATCCTGTGTTAAGTTTGTTAAATTATTCACTCTTGTATAAAGACCAGAAGCATGCCAAAAATAGAATCTAGTAACTTTCTAATTATGACATAATTATCTATGTCACTTACTGACAATGATGCATCCTCATTCCCATAGGAAATGGGGTACAGTGATGGATGATACTGAAATAGTGTTAAACAAGAATACCAGTACTGAAGATCTAATGAACTAACTTCAAGGAGCTAATCACTTCTTGAGTAACCACCAGTCACACAGTTACCCAAGAACAATATCAACTTCAACAAAATTTGAGATAATATAAAATCAAATAGCACATACATTCTTACATAAATATGTTCCATTATGAAATTTAGTAACATGGAAAGTCATGCAAAATATCCACTGTCCTGGATAAAAATTAGGCACATTCACAAGAAAGGGTACCAGACTTTCACAGTTTGAAACTAATGGCTACATACCTTGATGTGTTCAAGTGTAATGTGTATAAGGCATTCTCCAGCAGGGCTATGTGTAAGGCCAATGAGCTGAGATTCACATGAGCATAGTTGGTATTTGTTGTCAGAAGAGATCCCCAAAGCAGTGCTTCAGTTTTTACCAACTCCTGAAGTAGGATTACTTTCTATTCACAAAAAAAATAAAGAAGTCAGATTCAACTTATGTTTTAATATGGGCATTAACAAAAATTATAAAATGTATTACCTATACAATTGAAATTATTTTTTTACTATTGGTATATCCAATAATGTACATAACATTCTTAACAGTTTTTAACTTTCTGTGACTTGCAAATAAATACATATCATCAATGAGTATATCGTCATGATTACAGGTGCACACATACATTCATTTTGGAGGCAAACTGCAACATGATTGATCCGTAAGTTCAGTTATGGACAACTCCATTATAAGGAGGTTATTTAGAAGTAAGAAATGAGTAAGTTTTTATGGACTGAATGAACTAATTTTATATTAAGCCCTGTGCTATAACAGAATGCATCACAACAGGATCTCAAATGTATGTGACCACATACACGTGAAAAAGAATATTTCAGCAAACAGATGGCCAGATGACATAATATCCAATATTAGTAGATCAGAACCTATGGCCAGAGAGTCTGTATACTGACTTACATCTTCCAAAACTATTTTCATTTAAATAAAACAACATTATATTTGTGTCTATTAAGCAGTGCTGTTAGCTTTAATGAAATGTGCAGTTCACAGGTCTAATGCAGTACTTGCCTCTAAATGTATAATATGTTAGCAATCTTACAATTGTTGGTAGTCAACAATATTCACAACTTCAATATCATCACTCATGAAACCTGAAGCATATGATTTCTAAAGCACTGTTTTGTAAATGAAGCAGACACTGCAATCTGGAAATTTTCATAACAATAAGAAAATCTAGTAGGGGAAGGAGAAAGTGTCCAGAATTGAAAGAGCAATCTATCCTCACATAAAATATTTCTTAGAATATGTATTAAAATAAATGCTATGCTAAGGGAAGAATGCAAAGATCAAGTTTACACTTAGGTTCATACTGACAAGATTATATGTTATTCCACTACAGCTAAGTCCCAGATGCCACATACCTGTGCATTTATAACTGAGCAATTTCTTTCTAAAATGATGTTGATTATTTGATAGAAGATCTGTGCCGATGTGAGCAATTCCTCATTTTCTCCTGTATAGTTCATGAATGACAGCACTTCCTGCAGCATAACCAGCAATGCCTCACCTTCTCCAGGGTAGAGTGACATGTGCTGGACAAGGTACTCATGACAGGCCTTCAATGTTGCATTGCCAGAAGTATTCTGGTACCCCAAGATCAGACTACGAAACTAAGGATATACAAGGAGAAGCTAAGATTTTCATTTTTTCACTTGTAGTTGAAAGGTGCAGTTAAAAGTAAAAGTAAAGCAAAGTTGCCCCTGTGCCTATGCATTATGTTCTGAAGATGTAGAGAGGTCATATTGGTAAAATTCCATGCATCTTACTTCTCAGCAGTACATGAAGGTGATCAGTGAATTCTACATTCTGGCCACTTAATTTTTGTGACTAGAGCCCCCAGAATCCACTGGATAGCAGACTGGCTGAGTCTCAGAGCTGGACATAATGACAATAGAACAATCCTGTTCCTGCCAGGAATCAGACCCTAGGCATCCAGTCTGCAGTCAAACACAATATTGAATGAGGTACCATGACTCACAATGTATTTTAATTAAAATTAAAGAGAGAGACAGCTTCTCTCTTGCAGGGATTTAGAATAAAAGTACAGTATTAACAATGGAAAGGTAATTTTAGACAGGTTCTTCTACAAGTGTTGATTCTGGAATTGCATAGGCTTCCATGACCATGTTTTAAGTTTTATGCAAAAATTCATGCATATCTTGTTCTGTATGTCAGCCATTTAACAAATGATCACTGTCAACACATGTGCCCAGAACAGTATTTTATACTGATATAAAGCAGCACCTTCCTCTTAAATGTTGAGAAGTCATGAACAACTGTCAACAACATCTATGATCTATAGTCTCTAAGGCATATCTTACAGATGTATGATGAAATAAATTTTAAACTCTATGACTGTTCAGATTGTCACCTTGAATAAGTTCGTTTTCTTGTTCAGTGTTCCGGCGGGCCTAGATCATGCTTAGTAACCTCAACCCCTCCCATGGGTCTGCCATCTGCAATATGCCTATACAGCCCAGTCAAATCCTCATTCTACTCACTTCAACTCTGAAAATGTAAGTAGCATCATTGGTCGCACAGAATCACTGGTACCTGTCTTAAATGTTATACAGTGCCAAGCTGCCAAAGACCACAATCTGAAGTCTCAACCTCATTTAAGTTTACACATTCTACATGTCTGGAAGGTTGCAGGTTCAAGTCCCAATGAGGTGGATTTTTTTAATTTACCTAATCCTTCCAACCACACTATGGTCCTGAGGCCAATTTATCCAGTAACAGAAATGATTACAAGGAATCTTCCTTAGGGGTAAAAGCCGGCCTGTGAGTAAGGGTGACAACCTTACTGCCATCTGTGAGCCGATTGTTTAGAGAAAATGTGGGAGCTTCAACGTCTTACAACCTTATGGGCCTTCATCGCCTGTTACAGGGATACATTTACCTTACCTTACCTTACCTTAACTTTACATGTCGCGTTTCTTTAGAATATATGTTACACAGTTTCATCAATTTATGAAAAATATATACCAATGAGCATCAATGTCATAACATAGTCTCTCATGTTGTCAGCAAAAACATATAAGGCTTCTTCCTGATATAAATTTCGATTGCATAAAATTAATTTTGCGTAATTAATTTGTCAGTGAGCTGGTTATCTCAATGATGAAATGCCGGATTTATATCTGGGAGATATCAAGTATGAATTTCAGCTTGAAAACTGACTGCTCCTCCTTCTGAGTGAATCATAGGATAATACTTCAAAGCTGTATCCATCTTTAATATATTTTCATATTCATTATCTTATCTAACACGATGCTATATGACTTCTTCAGTTACTGTTAGTCATCTAACAAGACCTTCAGGAATATATGCTGAAGTATAAGCTACACTAGAAATTTCTAACAGAAAGCATGAAATGAAGGAAAAGTTGAAGAAAGCAGTCTTCTGGGATCTGGCACCGTGTATATGTGGTGTTAACCGACGTTTCGGNAGGAAAAGTTGTTTTTGAAACCTCTGCAGATATCAATGTATTCATGACACATTAAATGGATTATAAATCATTTCATTTTACTTTCATATATTAAAATTGACTCTTCTGAGGTGTCAGCAATAAAATACTGAAATTTTGAATATAAATAGTATTTTCCAATTTAGGTTTTCACGATGTTGAAGATTAATACTGCAAAGAAGTTGTTACAGTGGGCAGAAAGTATTATGAAACTTCAGCAATAATTCCATACAGTGACAGTAACCATAGTCTGAAATTGTTATAATAGGTTATTCTAAAACAGGAATAAGTAATTTTAAACATTTATTTCTGTAACACTGGTATTCTTTCTTTCTACTTCAAACAAGAAAATATTCAGTTCATTAAATGTTAACTCACATTATTATGGATGTTTTCAATAGCTTCCGAGATGCAAGCAGAGAAGTCTGGAAGATCCCACTTTGTAGAATATGTGTTACGCAGAGTACATCGACGTCTGGCTATACCCAAATAGTGGACTGGACAATCCTGAACTGCGTCCAGGTCTGGGGCAGTTTCGGGCCACTGAATTCCAAGCATTTGTTCCTCATGACACATGGGCACAACAGAGCTATTCACAACTTCTACATACACACTCATTGCCTGACTTGCTACACTCCCATGTACTGTGCAAGTGTAGATTGCAGATTTCTGAAAGAACATATTACAAAAAACTTAAGGGTAGGGTACAAAAAAGGTGAACATCATGAAAATATTTTCTATTACATTTTTATTTATTGAAAGCATGCCAGATACTTTGGTAAAAATATGTCGTACATCCAGTAATTTTTTATACCTGTAAAGATAGTTCTAACACAGATTTGTATAAATGTATTCAGCTTTCACTTATTTCCATGTGCTTATAACAAGAAGTTATTATGTCTACTTTTCTAAATTCTTCAAATGATATTATGGTCTAGTAACAGTAATAAATTAATAATTATACAATTCTGTAATATACTTCTGTGCACAATTTCCATTTCTACAGATTCCTTCTACTTCAGAATCTACAAGTGTACACCCTGATATTTCACATCACTGCAGTGTTTGTAACTGTTAACACATAAAAAATGTTTTATATCAACTTTGCCGTCACATTTATAATCTGTCTCCATACAGAATTTCACATACCTGAAACAGTTTATATTTTACTGCAAACTGATACAGAACTAAACAAATATTTTTCACATAACAGAAATTATAAATATTTTTTGGGATGGATTGTTGAAATAAGTTTTAGAACCTACATTAACCTTTTAACAGCTTGTGGTTGTTTTCAGTCAACTCTTTAAAAAGTTTCACTGTACCTTCCACATGAATATGGAAATCAACCACATTACCACCGTCATCTCTTGGAAAGCACTGTGGTTGAAAATGCAACTGAAACATGTTTCTAAGTATTTTCAGTACACACAGCATGCTTAGATTACTGAGGTCAAGCATTGGGCCACAGTGCATGGTTGCATATTTCTTTAATCGCATGTCTGCTTCTCAGAAGGTACTGGAACACTTTTAGTAAATTGTATGTAATTTTTACAGTGAATCATTTGTTATATAAGGCACTTAAATTTGTTACCAGTAGTTCATAAAATGAAACATTATTTTAAATATTACTAGCATGAATTTTATCACCCGTGAAATTTCACAATCATTCATAACCCCAAATTCTGAATTTTGCAGACAATATTCTTACATGTTTTGGAAAGTCCTTGCCCGTACGTCAGGTGTCACTTCTTGGATGGCCTCACTTATGTTTGCTTTTAAAGCCTCTATGGTTCGCGGTTTGTTGGCGTAAACTTGCGCTTTCAAATGTCCCCACAAAAAATAATCAGGCGGCGTTAGATCGGGCGAGCGCGGTGGCCAAAGTCCCCTGGAAATGACGCGGTCGCCGAAAAAAGACTGGATTTCGGCCATGCTTGCGCGCGAGGTGTGTGCTGTTGCTCCATCCTGCTGGAAATAACCGATGGATAATTCCTCATCGTCCAGTTGATTCACAAAGCAGTGGAAGATATCTAGGTACGCTGCTGTTGTGATTGTCGTGTCGAAGAAGATGGGTCCAATTATGCGCCGCGGGGAAATTCCACACCAAACACCAATCTTCTTGGAATGAAGGGGTTCTTCGTGTATCGCATTGGGATTCTCGCTTGCCCAAATGCGACAATTTTGCGAATTAACGTATCCGGAAAGATGGAACCACGCCTCGTCCGAAAACCAAGTGTAGTCCAGAATGTCCGGATTATCCTGGACAAGGGTCTGTAACCATTGACAATACGCCTCTCTCTTCGCGTAATCTGGCTCTTTTAACTCGTGCACCACGGAGATGCTGTATGCATGAAGCTTAGATTTCTTCACAGCACGATAGCAAGTGCAACAGCACAAACCTCGCGCGCAAGCATGGCCGAAATCCAGTCTTTTTTCGGCGACCGCGTCATTTCCAGGGGACTTTGGCCACCGGGCTCACCCGATCTAACGCCGCCTGATTATTTTTTGTGGGGACATTTGAAAGCGCAAGTTTGTGTCAACAAACCGCGAACCATAGAGGCTTTAAAAGCAAACATAAGTGAGGCCATCCAAGAAGTGACACCTGACGTACGGGCAAGGACTTTCCAAAACATGGCGCGCCGAGTCCAATGCTGTCTGGACGCAATTGGTGGGCATTTCCAGCACTTGTTATGATGTCACCAGACTTCACATGAACTGAGGTAAGTCCACTCCAAATTTCGTTGCAATATCTTTATTAGTATCCGAGTTATTAACAAAATGCCAGGTTCCGCCCCGAGTGAAACACCTTTTATAAAAAACATGTTCAGTGAGATAGCTTTTTAATAAAAATTTGAGTTCTTTAATAACTTTGGATAGCAATTGAATGTTTGAGGGTAAGTGTAACATATGGCTGTTGTCATTTCCACTCTTGGGCTGTTAAACCAATATGTTTCAACCATCAAGAGTTATAAACACCTGGATGACATTTTATGAAATTTCCTTCTTTGCTAATGGATTACCACTTACTATTTTAGTAACATGTTTCAATTGGACGTAATTAAATACAAATAGGATCACCAGTGTCAAGTTCATATAGATTTGGAAAGAGGCAACCTGATATGTTTGAAGATAACACTCACAGCATTTGCCTGGAAGGAGTAAGGAAAACCATATAAGACCAAAGCTAGAACAATCAGAATTTTGGCCAAATATAAAATATAAATTAGAATATTACTGCTACACAAATTTGCTTGGAATAAATCCCTGAAGCACAATTTGTGATTATGAATTGAATAATGGTGTATCTATGCTGTAAAGAAAATGAAGAATATTGTTTTCTAAGATACAACACCATGTAGTCTCATAGAAATTTTGGAGGAATGTACTGTCTCCATCTTCAGGGCTAGAAAAGCGAAGCAAGCGGGAAGCAGTATCTACTTGCCAGGCTTATTCTTTGAAACTGAAGATGGAAGCAGTGCACTCCTCTGAAACATTGGTAATATTCCAGCAGACTAAATAGTATTATTTCCCAGGAGACAGTACTCTTTGCCATAAGAACCTCAAATCTCACACAAAGAAAACATTAAAATATTATTACTTCCTACTTGTGCATTATAGATCTTCAGTATGCTGCCAGCTGGGTGCAGATCTTCCCAGACCTCCACCCCTGGAACCATGCGGAGCAAGGCCTTGTTCTTCGTCCAGTTGTATCCAAATTTCTCATGTCGTTGGTCATTTGGGGACATGCACTTTATATTCACATTTTCACCCTGAACGAAGGAAAACCACATAAGAAGCACTGCAGTACATACAAATTCCCTCTACAAAAGACAAAAACCTGCAGTATACGTATACAGAATCAAACAGTAACACTACAATCTAACACAGAAATCAACAAAGAGATTTGCGAAGACATGTCATCTGTTATAATTAAAAGGTAAAAGGGCTTCACAAACAACTCCATACCCTCTCAACAGTGATGCTCTTTGGAATCACCTCTACCTCCGGCCGTACAAGAACTTCAAGGCGGATAGACTTGCACTGCTGCACGTCCCAGTCTACAACCTGACACGTGTAAATTCCCTCATCAAGATGTGAAGCACGTTCAATGCCCAGAAGAGCTGTGTACTGATCCTCAGAATCCATTGGTAGCAGCTTGGTCCACATGTTTCTGTAAGCCACAAAGACTGTTACACAAGAGACTCTTCACTTAAAAATTATTTTAGAAATGGTATAGAAACAAGTGGCTTTATTATAGCTTAGACTCAGTCACAGCTGAGTTCCAAACCAAAAAGGAAAATATGAGTAACTGGAGAAAATACTTCATTCATGAAGGCCTGGATTCAAAACCAGAATACGAAGTCCATACGAATTTTGTGGATTCTAAAGGGTTCTGACGATGGTGTACAACACTCAGAATACTGGATGATGGGCAAAGATCGAAAATCCAGTAATTATGAGTTTTGTGGTAGACAATGTGACACCATGAGAAGTTCATTATACTAATGCATTCATTTTACATCATCAATTATTCTGTAATTTTATTGAGTTGAGCAACACTAGGCAGAAGGGTCAGCATATTATCACAACCACCGTCATTTGCTGGAGATTCACATATGACTTGGCGCATAGCCAGAGAGAAAATGTGGAGTTCCAAGATATACGGATAAAATGGAAACCGCTCTCTAATTAAACTTCCACTACAAAAATTAAAAACAGACAAATTATGCTGCATGTGAAGAGACTCCTTTGGTCGAAATTTGACAAGAAACAAAAAAGAAAAAAGAAAAGTGACCTGTAGACCTAGGAGAACTGTGACATTTAGAATTTATTTTCAAAGTCGACTTATGCGCTTGCGTGTGTGCGCGCTCGCGAGCGTGCGTGAGAGGGACGCGAGTGTGTGCGTGAGCACAGAAGAGTGTTTGCGTGCATTTGTGCGCCTGCGACTGTGTGGGTGTATGTGTGTGCGCGCAACAGGAAAGGGTGTATACGTGCGTGTGCGCGCCACCGTATAGGTGTTAGTGTGCATGAGGGCGCTAGACCATGTGGGTGTATGTGTGTGCGTAAGCGGGCGACAGTGTAGGTGTTTTGTGTGTGTGCGCGTGCCATCATGTAGGTGTATGAGTGCGTGAGCGGGTGCAACAGTGTGTGCGTTATTTGTATGTGCGCATGCGATTGTGTGTGTGTGTGTGTGCGCGCGCGCGCAGAGTGCGTGTTTGTACCACATGATATCCATCCCTCTGTACATCCCACTCGGCATCTTAGAAACTAATGCTGATAGTGAATAAGTTCAAATACAAAAACTGTTCATTTTAGTTAAGAAAGCCCAGAATAACGGTTAAGCTCGCTGTTCCACGCATCGGTTCAAGCCCAAGTCAATTTCTTTCCCTGTTCTTTCCCCACTAAGTACACCATCAAGATCACGGCAACGGCGAATATTGTTACAACGCTCGCAGCCAAAAAGGAAGGACACATCACAGACACAGTACACACAGAAACGACTCCCATAGTGCAGGAACCATTCTATACGCGAGTTTGAATTATAGATGAATAATCTTAACAACTTTTAGTATACACAAATTTTATTATAGTTGACGAATAATGTACTTTCTAAATAATTTTATGAAAGACACAAGAAGGCAAACAATATAATAGCTTAGCGTAAATAACGAACCTGAAGATGGCTCTATGTTGCCGAAACATGTAGTAAGAAGTGACATATGAAATTGAGTGCACTACAAGACGGCCATTACATACATATCATGGATTGTTACACTAAGCAATCATTTAGTTAGGTGTTACTATAATACTGTTCCCTTTATTCTAGTATAACTTATGGCACTATGGTCACGGAAGATGAAACTGCACTGCATAACGTCACCAGGTAAGCTTCTGAAGCCACTGGTCTTCTTCTGTGATGTATAATTATGGAGCAGTGCTGAAATAATACCAGAGGGTATAATGTTTATTATGTAACTTTAATTATGCAAGTGACACAAAAAGTCGAAAATGCAATACTGAAGACGATTGTACAGTTTAATTGTGATGATTTCATCATAATCCACCTACAACATCAGATTTTTGTATGCAGCAAATGGAAATCAATTCCAATGAGACGCTCAAAATAGCAAAAGATGCTTCTGGATAATATGTATACTACAAACTACCGTACTCCTTTTTCACTTTGTATTTACTGCCCCTGATCTAGCAATGGAAGAAATTTATAACATTAATTTTTTTATATGTTGGCTTTGCGTTTGGGTCTTTGCACAGTGTACAGGGGGGCAGTGTTACTGACAACTCAGGGATTTATGATGCCTCCATTTTCAAGATGAAATCAAAGGCAGTGTGTACCCCCGAAATGTCGGCAACACTACATACATACTATCATGAAAGCCTAGAATCAGTAAATTCTTTCGTGTTTCTTGTCCTACTAATCAGCAATATCCAGGTTCATTTGTACAGCTCACTATGAGACGACTTTGAATTATGAGCTGACATGGGTGTGAAAGTTATGGTGCTACATCCGAATTTGTCTTGAGATATTAGACAAGCAAAAAAGAAATTTCACAATGGTAGTCTCCTGATCATGATCCGAACAAGAATTCTCCCATATACTAAGCAGAAACACTAATCACTACAATGTGATATTTCATAATTAGTATACTTATTGAGGTCTTGTTTAATATTAAAATGAGTCTTAGAGAGATAGGATGGGGTGCTATGAACTGGATTGATCTGGCTCAGGACAGGGACCTGTGGAGGGCTCTTGTGAACACGGTAATGAACCTTAGGATTCCATAAAACGTTGGTAAATTCTTGAGTGGCTGCGTAACTGGGGGCTTCTCAAGAAGGTTGCATATAATTAGTTAGTTAGTTAGTTATTCAGGTTTTCTTATGCAAGACTACACATATGACAAAATCATATATTTCTGTGATTCAACACAGCGAAACTTAGGTAATTCTATAACATTACGTAACTGATTCAAATATTGAGAGTCTGTTCCAAGGAACTACTTACCTAACAAACTGTTACCCTTTTTTGATCCAACAGAGCAAAATTTACACATTAATTACATGAAATAATTCCACTAAATCGACATACAATATGATACATGAAGATTTACCTCAGCGTCTTGTTCTTGTTGACAAAAGCTCCGTCCTTATACCAGCGAAACGTCATGTAGGAGGATCCCTGAGCTATGCAAGAGAGGATGAACTCATCTCCCTCTTTCACTATTAGGTCCTGGTGGTTCACTTTCACACTCTGAAATACATCAATCATTCGTAATGTACGTTACAACTATATGTATTCCCCCACATAAACCACTGATTACATCAGACAGGTCTATGTCCTTCGTTGCAGATTTCCAATGTGAGGATCTGATAAAGCAATGCACCATGGGGATATAAGATAAGCCATGGAATCACTAACTTCATGTAGCAATTCAAGCAGTGTGGGCAACACATTCCTGTAGTAATTCTCTTACAGTTTAACTAACCTGCAAAAGTAATGTTGGCTCTTGTTTGAATGCTAAGTGGGTTGGTACCAGTGTGAGATTTCCTAGACGACCCCGTTTCATAAGATTGTTGAGCGCCTCTCTCACTTTGCTGCCATCTCGTTTCCCACCAAAGAAGTGGAACATAACTTCAGCTCCGGGGCTAGAACACAGAGGTCATATTTTACGCAGAATAAAAGTGGCTACACTTAAAAATCCAGATTTCTTCTCACAGAAGAATTTCTAGTTTCTCTTTAAATTTTAAGAATCTGTCTAAATAATAATTAACAATACACTGCCCTTTATCGTATAATGTGAAAATGTATGATGTTTAAAACAGTTTAATACCGGGAAATGTCTGTGTGGAGCCCCAACGACGCCCATTATGGCTGGACCGACGAGGTAGACGAAGTGGACATATTCACAACATGCTCATTATGCTGAGTGCTGCTAAACATCATACCCTTGCAGGATTACATTTCTATTCAACCCTAACCGGGTATTGTCTTGGAGTCGGCCAGAACGAGGCTTTTGTGTGACTGTTATGTCAAGCTGGCAGGTTGATTAATTAAATTAAGCGGAGATTTTTTCTTTATTTCGGGGTTAACCACTCAAAATTTATTATCCAGCAAACCAGATAAACTCAGGAAAACTTGACATAATACACTGGTTGAGCAGTAAATTCTGTGAAGTTCGGATGTGGAAAAGAGTCGAGATCAAAGTGGATTTCCATAGACAGCTGATCGACTCGAGTGCTTCCTCGCACTACAGACTCTATCTAAGGGCCAATGCAGGTTATCGGCCAGAAATCTACAATTAATCCACTGTCCCGACTGGGCATTCACAAGAACACGACTTGGTTCTGGCGACCTGATGATCAGGTGAGAGAACAATATTCTAGCTCTACTGGCTGCCTGCTCTGTATTTGTGGACTGGGAATGTTTGTGAGCATACCTGATACATGATAAGGGTTAATATTTCTCGCTTACGTGCTTCAAACCAGATTCAATTATGTTTCAGTTCGATCGAGCGTAGTCTTGAAGACAGGGTTTGTTTTCGTGCTGATAGAAGCCGTATTTCATCTCAATAACAAAGCAAGAAATGCATTTCCTGCCCTAAAATGGTTATTCTAACCCTTTCTGATCTCACAGATGCAAGAGATCCTAATAAACACGTAACTAGGAGCGGGTTTTACCCTCAATGATTTAATTACGCGCTTACACTCTACGCAAAATATTTCCGTGCCCGAGCTGCGTCACAGGAAGAGGCAGGGATGATGAAGCATAGAAGGGGAAGGAATGAGTATAGGAAGTGGCGATCTTCCCCTCCCGCCCTATAGCCGGGTGGCCGGCCTACACACATTTGCATTTTTAACGACCAAAGAAGCTCGGAAATAGCGTGCTATACCTGTACCTTAGTCGCTAAGTTGGGATTAACTACCATAACAATAATATTTCGAAAATCCATGTGCTCTTATCTAAGATACATGCAGAAACAGAAAGCAGACTATACAAGAACGGGACAAACCCCTTCAGGGTTGAGATTGCAGAGATTTTGATGCACTACAACATTTAAACTTATAACATCTGCAGTGATTATGCAGTACATAATGAGAAGGGAGGAAAACTTTTCATGATACTGAGAAATAGATTTCTTTTGGGGGGGAGAAGCGTTGTGACGTATTTCGAACTACTGCATCCGCCTGATACTCAGCAGAACCTCCGTTAGGATTGTTCCCGCTCTAACTGAGATTTCAAACAATTACTCGTTACCCCCTACTTAGCCTGCTCTATACCACTGCACGTGTAACTTTCTTACCAGGTAAAGCACTAAGCTGCAGATGAGGGGCGCATCCCCAAAGTAAAGACTGAGGATGTGGCAGGTCAGGGCTCTCGAACATGTTAGTGAGAAATGATAATGAGTGTGCAGCAATGGTGGGAAAATTATTAGCTAGAGAAAAAAAACTCGGAGAAATGATTGTTAAAGTGCAACTTCGACAACCCTCAGTCTCATAAGAAGTCAGCCGGGAAGAGACTCGACTATCCTAGGTGAGAAGCCAGCATCTCACCACCTGAGCTGTAACTACGAAAATTATAATCATTATTAGAATAATAAGTCATAAAACTACTGAAGTGTAAACGTCAAGCCTATATAGCGTCGCATGAAACGGGCACATGTTCATGAATGGCTAAGAGGTAGGGAAATGCTGAGGATCCTGGAGGAATACCCAAAGGCACAATTGGGGGGGGGGAGACTAGTCAGGACAGCCTGTAACATGGGTATCTTCCGAAAGCAAGTCTCAAACAGCTGAACCCAAGGGCACAATGGGGGGGGGGAGACTAGTCAGGACGGCCAGTAACATGCATATCTTCCGAAAGCAAGTCTCAAACAGCTGTCGGTACGCAATCAGCCGCGGAGTATCCACTACTGCAACGGTTCTTAAAGCTTCTTTGCAAGGCATCCTTCATAGTTCCAGACATAAACAAACATGCAGATTTGTTTTTTAATAAAAAAAACACCAGAAAACACGATTAACGAATAAAGTTTAAAAAGATTTCACCATCAATTCTTGAATAAGAAAGTTATTCTTACTTAAGGGAGGGGGAGCCCTCTTTTGTTATTTTACTGTTTTGCAAGCACCGTAAGCGTCCAACTTAACACATACGCACAATTTACAACGGACATCAGACCTGAGGTTAAGAATCCGTGGGTTATTCTGTGCTATAAAGAGGCCAGGGAACCATACTGAAGAAAATAAAGACCACATATCTCATTTCGAAGGCCAACGAAAAAAAAGAAAGGAATGCGAGGTGAAGAGAAAGCAATAAAATTAAAATTAATATGGACAATAATAAACCATAAAATGAACAGAAAGTAACAGGCAAGAAAAATTCACAGACGTAAAAAACCTAATTAATCAAAGAAAGTAACGAATTGAAATTATTAAAAATTACCAAATTAATAAATAAAGAGCAATAAATAAAGCCAACAAAACAAAAACAAATTCACTGAAATCAGTAAACAGGGCGATACACAACAAACACTAAGAAAAAATAGTAAAGGGAAATTAAACCCAATATTACTGTACCCGAAATTGTTTGTGCTGAGAAAATAATTACACGGAATGGAAATATTTTAAAAATTCGTAATGAGCTTTTGTAAAAAAAACTGCTTAAAATATAAAATATTTTTTATGTCCACTTTCCTTACAAATATTGTCAAACTATCGCGAACATTGATCCCCCCCCCTTATTTTTCTCCCTTTGATGTCAAAACATGTGGGACAAAAGAACAGATATGACGTGACAATATTTTGACGTATAACACGTCGAAGAGATTGATGATCGTGTTGACGACAAACACGAGATTGTGTTGAAGGGCTCGTTCCTGTCCCATCCTCCTGCGTCAAGAAAAGTTTTCATAGCGGAAGGGATGTCTACTAGACCAGATAATACTACGTTATTATTACGTACAACGGGATTTGGTGGTTTGGGCGCCGGCCTTCCGCCCAGGGGAATACACCCCTTTCTTCGTTCGAATTCCACATTCAGCTCTAGGAGGTCCATGTATAAGCAATCGCCTCTATCATACTACTACTACTACTACTACTACTACTACTACTACTACTACTACTACTACTACTACTAATAATAATAATAATAATAATAATAATTCCTGCCTTCATATTAGCCAGCGAATAGCGTTCAGGTAGGTATAAAACTCATACTTAAAGGCATAAGTCAAAAACGCTGCAGATTCTGATGGGTTCTGACGATGGTGTATAACACTCAGAATTACTGGGTTAATGAACTTTGTCCATCATCCAGTACTCTAGAAACTACAAAACACAACGTTTCGGAAACTGGATCTGTTTCTGTTTCAGGTGAGGGGACAAGACACCTAGTCTGGTGGATCCCTTATAAAGAGCTAACCTCCAGACGTCCAGTGATTGAAGTTAGCTTCTTCTAGTAGACTCAACAGACTAAGTGTCTTCCCGAAGTACAGCGGGTTGCCGATTACGTGAGTCATTCTGTCTCCCAACATCAGCGTAATAATGGAGTTCTACTGTATATCTGATGGGGATTGGTGAAAATTTGGAGATATAATCGAACATATGATTTAAATTTGGATTCAATTGTCGGCCCGGAGATCACTATCTTGAAACTTTCGTTACTTCCTCAGTCCACTGACGTACATTTCAGGCAGTACTTTAAGACGGAATCTGAAATTTTCCTTCAACATTCTTCCGTAAACTTTTATTCGCAGTATTATCACATCGTAATGTTATGTACGAAATTGAAAATGGTTTGCTATATGAACAAAATCCAGTTTATTCAGTATTTTAAAAATAGAATAAAATCTGTATTTCCTTATATGCATTCTTTTGCAACTTTTGCTAATTTATCATCAAACTTACATTTTTAAGTAAGTTTTTATGTCGTCACAACTATGTCTTGGAATGGGACGA